TTTTAATACACAAAAACAATAACACCTTTGTACAATGCTTCTGCATACACATAGCTGATGTTAGTGATGCTTTCAATGCACCAACATGCCATTGTGCATATATTTATGGGTTGCACAGAAGTCAGCATGACACCACTGCTTCTGCTCTCCATCATGAATTGTAATTAAGAAAGTGAAAATATTCTTGGAAAAACATTCTTCTCAAGCATAATTCTATGAAGATTTTTTTTCAAATAAAACTAAATAGCAATACATTTGTGATCCTCAATATTAAATAAGTTGTTAAAATTGTTTTTTTTAAATAATAATAATAATGTGCATTCAAATATAAGTTATGCCTTCTTGAATCGGTTCAAGTTTCACCTTTGGTTGCTATACAGTGGTGCCCCGCAAGACGAATGCCTCGCAAGACGAAAAACTCGCTAGACGAAAGAGTTTTCTGTTTTTTGAGTCGTTCCGCAAGACAAATTTCCCTATGGGCTTGCTTTGCAAGACGAAACGTCTTGTGAGTTCTTGCGAGTTTGTTTCCTTTTTCTTAAAGCCGCTAAGCCGTTAATAGCCGCTAAGCCGCTAAGCCGTTAATAGCCGCTAAGCCGTTAATAGCCGCTAAGCCGCTAAGCCACTAATAGCCGCTAAGCCGCTAAGCCACTAATAGCCGCTAAGCCGCTAAGCCACTAAGCCACTAATAGCCGTGCTTCGCAAGACGAAAAAACCGCAAGACGAAGAGACTCGCGGAACAGATTAATTTCGTCTTGCGAGGCACCACTGTATTTTACTTCTAGGCCTGCGCCAAAGGTTCTTAGAAGTTTGGTGAAATTGAGGGTTGGCAAAACATTTCATGAAGCTGCTTCTCCTCAGTTCATTTTTCTTGCTTAGCATCTTGGTCCTGGCAGCAACGATGGTGTCAAGGATAAAAAGCAGAACCACATACCAAGATTCTGGGGAGTTTTGTCTCCCTTGACTCTGCCCTCACCTTGGTGCTCTCCTAGTCACCAAACTGCCACCCCCAACTTCACACTATTCGAGAAGAGTTGTGAAGTTCTGGGGGTCACTTTGTCTTAGTCCATTTTGGCTAGTGGAAGGCACGTGAAGCCAGAGTAGAACTTAGCAGGTCAAGGTCATAGGCAGGAGAAATCTGGAGTGGCAGAATTGGAATCCAGAATGAATCTACAAGTCAAGAGTGGAGAGAAGTTCCAATCTAATGGAACATGACAGTATCAGCATGTCTGGTAGGGGCAGAACTGCCCTCCTGATACTGAGATCACTGCTGCTTTCCTGGACACGGATGGGGCGTGAGTGACACTAGTGCCAGAGGGTGACACTCTGGCTCTACCCCATCAAATGCACGTCTACTACAATGGTACCTCTGGTTACGTACCTAATTCGTTCCGGAGGTCCATTCTTAACCTGAAACTGTTCTTAACCTGAAGCACCACTTTAGCTAATGGGGCCTCCCGCTGCTGCCGTGCTGCCAGAGCACGATTTCTGTTCTCATCCTGAAGCAAAATTCTCAACCCGAAGTACAATTTCTGGGTTAGCGGAGTCTGTAACCTGAAGCATATGTAAACTGAAGAGTATTTAACCTGAGGTACCACTGTTCTGGGGGACGTGGGTGGTGCTGTGGGTTAAGCCACAGATCCTAGGACTTGCTGATCAGAAGGTCGGCAGTTCGAATCCCCGCGACGGGGTGAGCTCCTGTTGTTTGGTCCCAGCTCCTGCCCACCTAGCAGTTCGAAAGCACGCCAAAGTGCAAGTAGATAAATAGGTACCGCTCCAGCGGGAAGGTAAATGGCATTTCCGTGCGCTGCTCTGGCTCACCAGAAGTGGCTTAGTCATGCTGGCCACATGACCCAGAAGCTGTATGCCAGCTCCCTCGGCCAATAAAGCGAGATGAGTGCTGCAACTCCAGAGTCAGCCACGACTGGACTTAATGGTCGGGGGTCCCTTTACCTTTACCTTTACCACTGTACTGGAAAATGGATACTACTGGAATTTGGTTGAAGGCTGGCAGAACCTGGTGATTTAATGCAGATCTTGGTGAGATGTGGTGTTAGTACTGGCTTTTCAGATCCCAATATTGGTCACCTTGCTGAATATTATTTTGTTAGCTGGAACAATAATCATGGCTAAGTTCATCTAGTCCCAGTGCTATTTTTTTTGGGGGGGGGCACTCAGGGGTATGCATACCCTTAAACATTTTGTGAATCTAAGTTTGGCCTCATTGAGGGGCAGTACTTTGATATGAGTAGGAAAATTGAGAGTATTAAACATTTTTGTTTTAGAAAACAAGAGCACTGTCTAGTCCAATAATTTCTTTTCAGCAACTGGATGTCTCTGAAGTTTCTGAAGTCATATAAGAGTCCACTTCGTTATAATGACTGAGAGTTATTGATAAAACATGTCTACACAAATGTATATAATCCTTCAAAAAGTGTTCCACATTATTGGCCCCGCCTCTGCACATTTCATTCAACATCCAGCAAGGGACTTGTGCTGAAATGACCCTTAGCTGGATCAGAGAGTGCATGTTTTCTTGTTTAAGAAACGTGCTCAGTCACTCCTTTAATACAAATTATTCCAGTAGGTATCATTGGAAGCACAGCATTTGTGTTTCAAAACAAAACACGACAGCTCTCTTGTTTCTTTATTCAACTGATCAAGACAGGAAGCAGAGAGTGACTTGGCTCACTTTCTTTCAGTAAAGTCTTCCTGATTTGTAGTCAGGAGACATGAACTTTAGTTAATTAGCAGCACAATGGATTTTTAAAAAAAACCTACAAGTGCTGTTCATTATTTAACATCCCCCCCTTCAGAGTTTATTTTATATGACCTTGACCTTAATGACCATGACCTTAATGAAAGTACAATCTGAGAAACACTCCCATAACTGAGTCATTTGTAATTACCGAAATGTGAATTAAAGGAAGGGTATGGTTTTAGAAAAGAATGGAGGCATAACTAAGAGTTTGTTCACACATTATCCAAGGCTCAAGAATAGGTCTACCCCTCTTTTAAAACTGCCCAAGTTAGTAACGATCACAACACAATAATAATAATAATAATAATAATAATAATAATAATAATAATTTATTTGTACCGTGCCCATCTGGCTGGGCTTCCCCAGCCACTCTGGACGGCTTCCAACAAAGATTAAAAACACATTAAAATGTCACACACTAAAAACTACCCTGAACAGCGCTGCCTTCAGATGTCTTCTAAATGTCAGGTAGTTGTTTATCCCTTTGACATCTGATGGGAGGGTGTTCCACAGGGCGGGCGCCACTACTGAGAAGGCCCTCTGCCTGGTTCCCTGTAGCTTTGCTTCTCACAGTGAGGGAACCGCCAGAAGGCCCTCGATACTGGACCTCAGTGTCCGAGCAGAATGATGGGGGTGGAGATGCTCCTTGAGGAATACTGGGCCAAGGCCTTTTAGGGCTTTAAAGGTCAACATCAACACTTTGAATTGTGCTCAGAAACATACTGGGAGCCAATGTAGGTCTTTCAGGACCGGTGTTATATCGTCTCAGCGGCTGCCCCAAGTCACCAGTCTAGCTGCCGCATTCTGGATTAGTTGTAGTTTCTGGGTCACCTTCAAAGGTAGCACCACGTAGAGTGCATTGCAGTAGTCCAAGCGGGAGATAACCAGAGCATGCACCACTCTGGTGAGACAGTCTGCGGGCAGGTAGGGTCTCAGCCTGCGTACCAGATGGAGCTAGTAGACAGCTGCCCTGGACACAGAATTGACCTGCGCCTCCATGGACAGCTGTGAGTCCAAAATGACTTCAGGCTGAGCACCTGGGCACAGTCACCCCATTCCGGACCAGGGAGTTCTCCACACCAGCCCGCCCCCTGTCCCCCCAAAACAGTACTTCTGTCTTGTCAGGATTCAACCTCAATCCATTAGCTGCCATCCATCATCCAACTGCCTCCAGGCACTCACACAGGACCTTCACTGCCTTAAGGTAGCAAATTCCATAGTTTAACTGTGTTGTATATGAAGAAGATTGGAAGAAAATTTATAAAGGGAATTTTTTATTTAGAATTAGCTTAATGAATATTAGGGAAAATGTTGGAATGAAACTATATGACTCTAGCAGAAATGATATCAGGAGCTATGTATATTTGAAAACTAAGATTCAAGCTTTAAGGTATTTTGGGGTAAGATAAGGTTAAATAAATTAAGGTAATTTGAATAACAGAATATGGGGAAAGATGGAAAGGATTTGTTGAGTTAATTATTAGGTTAAATTGTTAAGATAATTTTTTTAACAAAAATTGAGAAAGATGGAAAGAATTTGCTGAAACAATTAATTAAATTAGAATACAAAAAGGGAGGTGTGAGGAGGTCAACGAAACAAGCAAATGGAAGTTATAGATATGCAACTTGGAATTTGTGTCTTTTCCCCCCCTTATTATTTTTTTTGCTGTTGTATTGGTTTTTATGTTTTGCGTTTTTCTCTTCTTTTATGTATTGTAGTGTTCTTTTTATTTTATTTTTCTGTAATTCTGAAATTATTAATAAATATTATTTTAAAAAAAATATATGAAGAAGTTCTTGTGCAACTTTTGTGCAAACTGAATCTTCCAATACAGTACTCACCTTCATTGCATGGCCCCAAGTTATAACCTTCTGAGAAACATCTCTCTGCCCAATTTCTCCATGCTATGAATAATCACATACACCTCTATTAGCTCCCCACTACTCTGTTTCGTTGCTTCAAGTTAATAAGCAACAAATGTAACAAGCACCAAACTCCTCATAGGGGAGTTGCCCCAGCCCTTTGATGATTTGGGTTGGCTTTTTCTGAAACTTCCCCCGCTCTGCAATATCATTTTGAGGTGTAGTAACTAGAACTTTTCACAGTATCCGAAGTGCAGTCACATCTTATCTTTGTACAGTATAATATTATGACATTGGCAGTTTTATTTTCAGTCCCTTTCCTAACATGGAACTTGCCTTTTTTTAAACGTGCTCCACACAACAGGTTGACATTGGGACAGCCTAGATAGCTCAGTTGGTTAGAGTGTGGTGTTAATAATGCCAAGGTTGCAGGTTCAATCCCTGCACGGGAAAGCTGCATATTCCTGCATTGCAGGCGGTTGGACTAGATGATCCTCAGGGTCCCTTCCAACTCTACAGTTCTGTGATTCTGATTTTCATTGAGTTATCCACCACAACTGTAATATCTATTTTCTGGTTATTAGCCACCAAATCAGACCCACTAGTATATATATGAATATAGAAATTTTTTTGCCCCTGGATGATCACTTTGCACTTCCTTACATTAAACCCCATATGTGAGATTTCAACATGTTTTCATGTGTTTGTCTTAAATACACTTACAAAAGTCTCTCTCTCTCTCTCTCTCTCTCTCTCTCTCTCTCTCTGTGTGTGTGTGTGTTGGTTCATTTATCTGTAACTAATTATTCAGTGAGCCATAAAAATGTCTCAGCATATTGCTCTATATTGATGAATTTTTCAATATATCAAAATGTGAAATAAATGTTGGAAGCATTAATTCTTGGAAGGCAAGTTCACCTTAAAAATGATAAAATTGTGTTGGGGGTTTGGTGATAATTATAATGCAGTAACCAAGGATAAGAACAAAAACATCAGGGAGAGAAGGGTGGGGAGTAAAAAAAAAAAAAAAAAAAGCTAATGGTATATTGTCTGTGAAGTAAATTTGAAAAAATCTTTGAAAACTTTTTTTAAAAATCAATTTAAAAGAAGGAAAGTTCACCTTTAATATTTCCTTTTCCAATGCCCTATCAGAGAAACTTAATTGGTTCAAAATATCAACAACTGTGATGTTAACTCAACCAATTAAATTGCGCCCTTATTGATTAAAATTTGTTTCCACCTTTAGATGCTGAATCTGCTGATTAAACCAAATAAAGACTGTGGCCCTAATGAAAGTATTCTTATGTCCTATATGCCACCTACTGACTACAAAATACTAGTGCATGGGAAGAATTGATTCTGACATCTACAATGAACGACCTAAGACTAAGTGAAATGCAGTATGTTGTATTATAACACCAAACTTAACAGCTTCTAAAAAAAAAGGTCAATAATTATGAGTCTCTACACTAGATATAACAAAAAAAAAAAATGGTAAAGAACAAATGGCTAAGTTTTAACCTTCATTAATTTTATGTGAGTGATTAGACAACACCATATGTTTTTACAGCGCTCTGGATCTGGGAAGTCAGACCTTTCCCACACAAATGAGTCAAAACCCCACTGACAACTTGCAAGTCATGTTGTGCTTAAATTATCATATATTGATTGAAATGCTTGTTTTCTTCTGTGTGCTTGATTTTTTTGAGCCCCAGGGGCACAAGTCACAAAGAAAAATAAAATAAAATTGAAATCAAACAGTTTTATTCGTATGCTCAGTGCACCAAAGTAGAAAGGAAGACAAAATGGCGCCAAAGGATTTCAAAGGGAGAAAGTTTTCTTAAAGACCAAAAATATAGAATTCAATGTATTGTGCAATATGGACTCAATAATGCAATCCATTATTGCGGGTAGCACTGTGGGTTAAACCACAGAGCCTAGAACTTACCGATCAGAACGTTGGCGGTTCGAATCCCTGCGACGGGGTGAGCTCCCATTGCTCGGTCCCAGCTCCTGCCAACCTAGCAGTTCAAAAGCACATCAAAGTGCAAGTAGAGAAATAGATACCGCTCCGGCGGGAAGGTAAATGGCGTTTCCGTGTGCTGCTCTGGTTCACCATGCTGGCCACATGACCTAGAAGCTGTACACCAGCTCCCTCGGCCAATAAAGTGAAATGAGCACCGCAACCCCAGAGTCGGTCACGACTGGACCTAATGGTCAGGGGTCCCTTTACCTTTAATGCAATCCAAACATTAGACACATTCTTCCAAATCTGTTCATAGAATGTTAGAGTTGGAAGAGGCCCAAGAGTCATCTAGTCTAGTGTTCAAACCCCCCCCCCCCGAATATATATAGTATAGTTTTATGAGTTAATGTATATAAGTAAGCCTGGGAAACAGAGTTAAAGACTTAGAGCACTGTTGGATAAAAGCCAGATTGCATTCAAAAATTGTGAAAGAGGAGAGAAAAAATGGTGTAATTTGCATGAGCCAAGTGCAGGGTTTTTGGGATAGCGGAGGGATGTTTGTGATTGCCCCTTCTTTCATTTTACAATCCGTGTCATCTGTAGTCTGCAGCCTCCGTGGGTGACAGAGCTGAGTGATCAATTAAAACCCAGGGGAAGGAATAATGAGGTAACTCCTCCCATCAGGAAGCCTGGGCAGTCAGGGAAGATCCAGAATTAGAAAAAAAAAGTGTTTACTGGAACCCTTGGCTGCCTCACAACAAGAGTGTTTCAATCCACTTAAATCACACACATCTAAATTTCTAATTTGTGCTTGAGCGCTTCCCACAAAATAAGGATGATTTGGAGACACTACCAGGCTATGAAATGGGGGGTGGGGGTGGGAGTGAATCACATAAAAGAGATTAGGGAATAGGGTAGGATGCAAGGCACTTGGTGGCTCTGGCTTGGAAACTTGTGTAATTTCCACACTTCCTAGGTTAATGTGTCTACCTCTTTCATTTACCGTATTTTTTGCTCTATAAGACACACCAGACCACAAGACGCACCTAGTTTTTTGGAGGAGGAAAACAAGAAAAAAATATATTCTGAAACTCAGAAGCCAGAACAACAAGAGGGATCACTGTGCAGTGAAAGCAGCGATCCCTCTTGCTGTTCTGGCTTCTGGGATAGCCATGCAGCCTGCATTCGCTCCATAAGACGCACACACATTTCCCCTTACTTTTTAGGAGGGAAAAAGTGAGTCTTATAGAGCAAAAAATACGGTATTTCACAGGACTTAAAGGTATGCAATGCTGGCAGAGCCTGAGCCATAGCTTTTTAGGGTGATTTCTTTGCAGGTCTTCACAAAATTCCAAGTTTTAAGATTCTGAAACATGTATCACACAAGTGTGAAAAAGCCAAATGTGATTTCATTTGAAGATAATGACCCATCACAGACTGGCTTTCTCATCCGAGTTGTCACCATAATATTTTCAATAGCCATTAGTCTGAAAAGAAACAATCCCTTCCGTCATACTCATTTCAGGGCAACATTTGACATCCTCCCCCTCATCCCATACACATGCCTTCCATCTGCCCAAAACTCTAATCTATTTGGCAGCTAAAAAATCATTAGACCAATTAAAAAATCTCATTTGAGGACATGGCAATTGGACGCAAACTACATATAAATAATGTTAAAATTATGTGACTGGTACAGATGGTTGACTAATATAGTTATGAAACATTCAGAAATCTGTGCTCTGAATCAGAACAGGTGATATGTTCAGAAGTACACTTTTGCGCATGGACCCACAGCTACATTGAAACCTCCAGGCACAGGAATGTACTCTGAGCAGATCCCTTTGTAGAATGCCCACTCTGTGTATAGTCTCTTGTTTACATCAGGGATGGGAAACCTGTGGTGGACAACACTTCTAATCATGTCTTTGAGGAGCTTTCCAGTAACAACTGGAGGGTCACAAATTCCCTATTTCTACATTTTGCTGGGAGAGGGGAGAGCTAGTCATAATATAATAATGCATATTAATATCTGATACAGATTTCTGTTTCAGTCTTCAAATATGTGCACTGGAGCCAGACATTATAGCACATGTGTGTTTGCCATTCACCTCACTAGATGCTATGTGCAAAGGGAAGAGACCCTAGCTTTAAGCATCAACCATTCTTCCACCCTAATGCTTAGTTCCCATCTATAAAGATACTAAATTTATCCACCTTCAGCAAAGGCTCCTGTATCATATCTATAGAACATTAATTACCAAGCAATGAATACACACTGAATAGACTCCAGAAAGCTGATGTACATCATGTTACTGTTTAGTATGCCCAAATTACATGAGCATCACAAGTGTAATTGGAATTGTTATAGTCAAATGTAAAATCTCTGCATTTTATTGGGGTTTAACAGGATAATTAGAACAAGTAAATTAGAAATGAACATAGTTATTAAAACTCTGTATTTAAGGATTAATTGATATCAATTTCCTCCTCCAGGCTACTGTTGGCAATCTTAATTAAAAGGCTAATTAATGAAAATGAAATAAACAGATTCCATATGTTTTTACTATGTAAGTTCTGAGGAAGGTTTTGTGTTTCCTGTTATTGAACTCATTGACAGAACCTCCATTGTCTTCAATGAACATTTAATATATTAAAAATGAAAAACCTATAGGAAGTGGGACTTCCAGTGCATAGGGGTGGGATTTCCAGTGAAAGGGGCATAGGCCATATTCCACTTTTAGTTTTACAAATACTATGTCATCTAGCCTTCTCACCTTTCTTCCCATGAGCTCAAGGTGACATGTGTTCTTTTCACCTGTCTCTGTTTTATCCTTATACCAACCCTCTGAAGTATATTGGGTCTGAGAGATTGTGACGGGCCAAAGGTCAAACAGCAAGCTTCATGGCTGAGTGCGGATTCAAAGTTAGGTCTCCCAGGTTCTAGTCGAAAACTTTTATAATGGCTTTGACAATGACTTCAGTACCTTGGCCAGGTCTTGATTGCTATATTACTATTAGTGTGCAATTGTTTGAGTTGCTCTTTTTAACTGTGTTGGTGTGGCTCCATTTTTCTTGTTTGTTCTGAGTGCATGTGTACCACACCATGATATTCTGTCTGATGCAGGAAAAATGAAAAAAAAAATATCTTAAATAAGTTCTCATTCTATTCTGAGGGATGCATTGATATGCGTATGGCATAAAATTACACATGCATTCATTTCTGTCTGCTCATGAGGTCAGGAGAAAGTGGACCACGTCTAGGAAAACATAAGTTAGGAAATGTCATCTTGGTTTTCTTGGAATTAATTAGTTTATTCTATTATTAGGCTCTCAACATGGAGTGGAGGATATTGTGAATAATATTCAAACACTTCAGCAAATGCATTAACTCTCAGTGATATAGCAACATTAAGATAGGTCAAATTAGGGTAATAATCCTCCCACCAGTAGGGCTATATAAAGTATAAATATAATTAGACCATTAATCCTC